CTTGACTGTGACTTTTCCAAAGCGGAGTTCGTAACGTTTTCTCCGTGAAACGTCGGTCTTGAAATCAGACAGCTGTTACAGGCCATGAGAGCTCCGCCGAGTGCTGAGTGAGAAAGTTGCTATCTGTCGGATTCATGTGCCATTCACGAGTGCTTCGTCTGGCGGGTTGAATTCGTCATCCCGTTTTCAGAAATGTATCCGGGAAAATGAACATCCAAGGACTGCCACCTCTCGGATTTGTTCCTGATGGCTACAGCTCTTCTAGAATGTTCTTGTAATAACTCCATGCCCCCTTTGAAGTCTGAAGGGAATATGAATGATTATAGTTTGCCAGTTGCTTCTGTAACTTATGCTATCTTTCAGGAAAACTGATGAGGACACAGGCTTTTATGTAGTGTAGTTAATGACAGTTTTTCAGAGGCTGAAGCTCAGATGTCACTTTGAGAAAAATCGGTGGCACTCTAGACCCACCAAATCCAAAGATGGTGTTTTCGTATTCTTTCTTAGGTCATGTCTCTTTCTTACACTCCACATTTGGTTTTGGAGCGTATTCCTCTGTCCTATCATTGGACCGATCATCTCCTCCCCTCCTTAGATTGCTCTGCAGAGGCTACAACCTAAAACCCCTTAAGAAATGGCCTAAAATCATCCAACGTCAGATCTTCCTCTACAAAATGGCATCACCTGTCCACACAAAAATATATGAAGCTGGTGAATTCTATGCTTCAAATTAAGAACTAGCCCTTGTTCTTAAAAAAAAAAAAAAAAAAAAGTTTGTGATTTCAGATGGATGTCCCCAGGTGGCCTTCTCCCGTGTGAATACATCAACCACTGAGTTTCACACAAATAAAAGTAGTATTTAAGTGCCATTGGTATGGCTCTTGTCACTTCTCTCTCCTGTATTTCTAAGATTTTTTTATTCATTTATTTAAAAGAGGGAGAGAGAACAAGCAGGGGGAGGAGCAGAGGGAGAGGGAGAAGCAGACTTTCCATCCAGCAGGAAGCCCAACGTGGGGCTCGATCCCAGGACCCTGGGATCACAACCTGAGCTGAAGGCAGATGCTCAACCGACTGAGCCACCCAGACGCCCCTCTCTTCTGTATTTCTAATCCTACCCAATCCAAAGAGTCGACCGTCCTTGATAAAATAATTCTTCTAAACATATTCTAGTGAACTTGATAAATGCCTGGGACTGGGTGCCCCACAATCTGTGATGACAAAGAGTTCTAGAAGCCTCAGGCATCTTCAGAATCAGCTTGGACTTTATTATTAAAATTTGACTTTGGGATGCCTGGCTGGCTCAGGCAAAGAGTGTGTGACTCCTGATCTCGGGGTGGTGGGTTCGAGCCCCACAATGGGTGTAGAGATTAAATAAATAAGTATTTTTTTTAAAATTTTGACTTTAAAAGAATTAAGTTAATAATGTACCGCTCTGTCAGAACCACTATGAGATACTACAAAACACACCTACTAGGATGGTGATCATAAAAAAAAAAAAAATAAGTGTTGGCAAAGATGTGGAGAAATTGGAACCCTTGTACATTGCTGGCAGGAATGCCAAGTGGTTCAGCTTCTATGGAAAACAGTTTGGTGGTCCCTCAAAAAGTTAAAGATAGAATTACTATATGACCCTGCCATTCTACTCCTGTGTATATACCCCCAAACAGCAAAAACAGATACTCAAAAAGTACATCTACACACGTGTTCATAGAAGCACTCGTCACAATAGCCCAAAGGGGGGACATATTCCAAACATCCATCACTGGATGAATGGACGAACAAATTGTGACATACCCATTCAGTGGAATATTAGTCAGACATTAAAAAGGAACGAAGTACTGATACATGGTACAACGTGATGAACCTTCACAGTGTTAAGGTAAAAGAAACCAGACACAAAAGTTCACACATTGCATGATTTCAATTATATGAAATCTCCAGAATAGATAAATTTATGAAGACAATGCAAGTCAGTGGTTGCCAGAAGCCAGAGGGAAAGAAATGGGGGGGGAATAGCTTAGCGGGTGAGGAGTTTCACTTCGGAGTGACGGCAACGTTTCAGAACCAGTCAGATATTACCGTCGCACGATATTACATATGTACTGAGTGTCACTGAATTGTTCACTTTAAAATGGTTAGTTTTACGTCACATGAATTTTACCTCAACAGATAGTTTTTTAAAAACAGGAAACAAATATAGTGTATTGCCTTGCAAAAAAAACTTCAATAAGTACAACATTTTATTGCTGCAAGGAACCTGCGAAATCAGTAATTCATACGCCTCATTTCTGGAAGTGAGAAAACCTTGCCTGAACTCAGGAATAGAGCAAATGTCTTCTAGTTCTTTTGTTTTGTCTGTCTTGTCCATCAGCCTTTTAGTGAGCGAAAACCCTGTGAAACTTATTTTTTGACCGGTCTGTCCATGCACTTCTCTCTTGGAATAACTGCACGGAAGATTTTTAAACTTGAGTAAATGTGGCTGTGTAGGTAATCCTCCCTGGTGGAGGGGAAAAATTATCTCCCTGGTTTTAGAGTGTCTTTTGGTTTAGATAATGCCCAAGGTATTTACTTCAAGCAAGCTCGGTACGGCAGTCTACAACACTCATCCTACCCACCCTCCCCCAGGGTCCTTCCCCGTTACTCTGTTTTCTCTCCCTCATTCTCCACACTGCCCCAGCTGCACGCTGAATTCTGGCTAGTTTCCTTTCTAAGTAATGTTCTCTCCCCTGGATTTTTGTCATCTTTTCCATTTCTCTAGCTTCTCTCTGATCATTCTTACACAGGAATACGGATTTTACTAAATTCTTTTAATTATAAAAATATTATAAGATTAAAAGCATAAGTATAAAACTTTAATATAAGATATATTGCTTTAATTTAAAAAAAAACACAACCCTTTCTTTTAGAGAAATTTGTTCTTGGAAACTAATACCTAGCATGACTTAATCAACTGACAACTATCTTCTTAATTCCGTAAATCTGTTTGAAGGCATTTGAACACCAGATTACAGGGAACAGAATAACAGCTATTCACATTCTCATGAATGGTTCTTCTTAATGTAATTATGGGATTTCAGATGTACAGCGTTTCCAAAAAAAAAAAAAAAAGGCAAATGGATAAAACATTAGCTTTTTGGCACTTGCCTTGCTATGGACTGAGTGTTTGTACCTCCCTCCCGCGCCCCCACATCCGTATGTTGAAATCGAATACCCAGTGTGATGGTGTGAGGGGGTGGCTGAGTCAGGAGGGTGGAGCCCTGATGATGGGACTTTAGTGTCCTTATAAGAAGACACTGGAGACAGATGAGCTCTGAACCCAAACGTGCTGGCATTCCCTCAGACTTCGGGTCTCCAGAACTGAGAGAAATAAATGTCTGTTGTTTAAACCACCCAGTCTGTGGTATTTTTGTCAAAACAATCCAAAAGAAGACGTGCCTTTTGATAACTAAAAAAAGAGTCTTCTCGGACATCAGTATGATGACTCACATCCACTAATGTTTTTGTCAACTGTCCCCAAGGAAAAGACATTCTTGCCTCATGAAGAGCCAAGACGCTAGAAAAGGAAACACATTTCTTAAAGGAACAGAGGAGAGTTTTTTGGCTTATTTGTTGTCTTCGTGACAAATAACACACTAAATTCCAAGAACAAGGAGCTGAATGTTTTCCTCTTTTCCTTGATCAGTACCCAACACGTGACATTTCTCAAGCATCCTCTTCACATAAAACGTTCTCTCGCTACATAATTCTATAAGACGTGCCAGGTGACAAACATCTGCTTTCCACGTGTTGGGGTCACTGTGGCTGGTTCCCCCCCCCAAAAAAAAACCTCAGTCTCAGTCTAAGCAGCTGTAAATAACACAGTCTCCGGCATGACCTGTGTGTCTGCAGCGTGGGATGAATTGGGGGGACATATGGAACCAGCCCCGGGATATGGCCTTCACTGACACTGCATCTTGAATATAATGCCAATTGTTCTGCAAACAAAACACTTCTCAGAAGAATCCAAGAGCACCTTCAGGAGCTGAGAATAACCCACAGAAACCTGCCTTGCTCTTCTATAATTGACAAGGTCCCTGGAGAAGAGAGCAATTTTGCACGACAACAAAGAAAGTCATTTCCAATTCCGTCCGCGAGAGAAAAAAAGAAAACAACCTCAGTAACTATTTATTAGGTACTTTATGAGTTTGCTGGATTGCCATAATAAAATACCACAGATTGAGTGGTTCAAACGACGTGGAAATTTATTTTCTCACGGTTCTGGAGGCTGGAGGTCTGGGATCAAGGTGTGGACAGGTCTGGTTTCTTTGGAAGCATCTTTCCTTGTAGAGAGGGCTGCTTTTTCCCTGAGTCCTCTCGGGGTCTTCTTCTCTCTGCGTCTGCATCTTCTCCACTTAAGGACCCCAGTCAGATTGGATTAGCGCCCTCTAGTGGCCTCATTTTTCCTTAACTGCCCCTTTATTTTTTATTTTATTTATTTTTATTTTTATTTTTAAAGATTTTATTTATTTATCTGACAGAGAGAGACACAGCGAGAGAGGGAACACAAGCAGGGGGAGTGGGAGAGGGAGAAGCAGGCTTCCCGCGGAGTGGGGAGCCCGATGCGGGGTTCGATCCCAGGACCCTGGGACCATGACCCGAGCTGAAGGCAAGACGCTTAACGACTGAGCCACCCAGGCGCCCCTTAATTGCCCCTTTAAACGTTTTACCTCTGAATACAGTCACATTCTGTCTCCACAAACCTCCCCTTCCTTCTATTTAATCACTGTCTTTTGACCCAGGTAAATGCTTTTATTATCTAGATACCCAGTCACAAATCCCAATCCAAGCCTCGGTAAAACCATAATGCTGTATTTATGTCACCTTATTCAGCTTAAAGGTATTTTTCTTCCAGGTCCCTGTGCCTTGATTTATAGAGAGGTGCTTTTAATTGCAAGCACACTTTCCAAATTATTTTCTTATTCTCTCAGGCTGAGAATGATCAGTTATTTCCTACACTTCATTTCTTTTCCCCGTCACCCGTATTAACTTTCACGGGAACAAGCTGTACACTTTCATCTGAGTCTTTTTTCATTCTTCTCTCAAGCGTCTCTGCTTTTAGTCCTCTCAGTCAAGTTAATGAATCGTCTGCTAATCCCACGCCCTCTGGTACCCTTCCCTGAGTAGAAGCTCGCTATTCTGGTATCCTCCACTAGGATCCGCTGCAGACGTATTTCTGAGCTTGACATTGGACGCAAGACCGCTCTACCGTCTACAGCCACGTTTCTTCTCACACGGGGAAACTGCTCATTTTCGACCACAGGAAAGCATGGCAGAAACAGACGGCCTGTCTGGGAGACCCCCTGGTACTCAGCATCTCTTGTTTGGAATGACCTTTAATAGGAACGAGGAAAAAAAAAAATACAGCGAAGCATGGGAAGCTCTGAAAACACGCGCGGAGACCTCTACGAACACCGGACATGTTGTTGTTTGCAGCATTATTTATGGTACGGTTGTAGTATCTGGGTGCATTCATAGCTATTGATGTAACCCAACTGTGACTTCTCCGGAGACAGAGCACCCCGAAAAGGAAACTTCAAAATGGGCAAGAACAATAAATATCAAACTTTCTGATCTAAAATGTATAAATACAAAATATCAGTCACTTCAGGAAACGTCTTAAGAAAATCCGCAACCGCACGTCCATGGGTAGGTGTCTGGGGTCGACGGTGCTAATCTTCGGAACACATCACCTTAGATCCAGCATGGTTATTTTTATGTCTTTTACCAACACATGTTTGCATATCTAGGTGAGAAAAAAATTGGTTTTACATCGTAATGTTTACCCTGGTTCTCTGCAGAAAGGGAATATGAATTTCTTAGCTTAAAAACGTTCCTAATTTTGAAAAGGTTTCCAATCAGAACAAAGAGAATCGTATTTATTCATTTCCAACCGAAACACACGTATAGAGGTTGCCAAGTAATTGTCATTTTACGTAGATTCTAACTTCAAAACAATGTTTCTCTGACGTTACCACCAGAGAACCACCAGGCAAGCAGTTAGAAAGAAAAAAGGTAGTCAAATAGTGTTTCTCTGGGGCTACACTAGCTAATCAAGAAGTATGCTTACAGTTTTCAGTGTACTGTTATGAAAAAATTAACCTGGCCACATCGGACAGAAGGAATTCACGAGACACTAAATATCATTTTCTTTCATTGTCTGCTTACTTGGAGTCTGAGGAAAACTGCATCTCCTTAAGTATCACACAGAAACATTTAGAAATGGAAAGGTAACTTTATGCACAATCAGCTGGGCTATAGAAACACTGGTATTCTCTTGTAAATAAAATGATCGTGCAAAGAAATCAGAAGTAACTACAAAGCTTGATCAATTTTCAGGATAAGAAAGCCCCAAACTAAGCACTTCAGTGTTTTTTCCCATATTACACTGTTACTGTTTCTCTCCTTCAAGGAGAAAGGAAAAAAGGAAGAGGTGAAAAATAAGTCTCTGTAAAAAAAAAAAAAAAAACATAGCCAGCGCAGTCTACTCACACTGAACAGCCTGGGGTCCTTGGTGTGTGGATGGAAACCCTTCTTTTTACAAGCAGAAACCTCGAGCATGCCAGCGTTGGTGAGCCTGAAAATGCCGGTGCTGTTTCAGGGTGGAAACAAAGGGAATAGAAGTTAAAGACCATTTGGCTTTCCGGAGCGAGCAGGTGGGGGGCGGGGAGGGGGGGCAGAGGGAATCTTAAGCAGACTCCACGCTCAGTGAGGAGCTCGACGCAGGGTTCGATCTCATGACCCTGAGCTGAAATCAAGAGTCCGACGCTTAACCGACTGAGCCACCCAGGCGCTCTCCATAGTGATCTTTTTTTTTTTTTTTCTTTTTCCCATAGTGATCTTTTAAACCAATTTTGCAACCACTGGCCCAGAGCAGAGAAACTCCCGAGGCGCCAAGGCGAACTCCATGCACCTGCTGGGCTGCAATGGGGAAGAGGGGCAGCTGAACTGTCCTGTGAGACTAGAATGGAAAATGGAGGCCCCGTGGGAGGAAATCACAGGTGGAAGATATTTCTACTTTCTCTAATAACACAGACACTGTTTAAAGAAACAGCAAATATTTGTCAAGTGCTAACTGTGGGGCCAGACACTACGCTAAGCCCTTTCTACACATCAGCTTCTTCACATCGATCCCGACGGGTGGTGCCAGAGATAAAGAGACTGAGGCTCATGGTGGTCAGGCATCCGGCTAGCCACACACCATTTGAGGCTGGAGGCAGGATTCCACTCAAAGTCTGACTCTTCTGCTCATAATCACTCTCTCACAGTCATTGTCTCCCAAACCTAGAAAGGCTTTGGAGGTCATTAAGCTAAGGCTAGAAATTTTCTTACAACAGGAGAATCACGATCTCAAAAGGCAAACTGATGCAACATCCAGTTTATCCACGTGGAGATCATGCTCACTAAGTAAAGAGAACCAGTAATTCTACTACGAAAGGACCTTAAAAACCAAAAGACTGCTGAGCTATAGGGAAAGGGGAGCTGGCTGGCACCAATCTCCGCTTCCCAAGGGCACCGGGTGCCTGCCTATCCAAGAGCCACCACCTGCCACGTGGACGCACTTGAACCCAGCAGCCCCGGACAACGCCTCACTCGGACCCCGCCCACAGGTACACTTACTCTTTATGCTTTGGTGAACAAACAATGGCAATAGCCTCTGGCAGCATGAGCTGATAGGAACAGTGAGTGTGAAGATCAACACTGGACAAGAATGCAGTTTGGGTCGGGTGTGTCTATGGACAGAAAAGAGGACGATCTTATTGGAGGAGTTGTCTTAGCCGAGGCCACAGCCCATTTGCAGAGAAATCTCTTGTAATTGGCTTTTTCTTTTTTACCGTCATTAATCAAATCAGGATTTTAAAAAAATGTGTCGCTGACATAATCCTTCCCCTCATGCACCTTGGGAATAACCACGACTTTGAGAAGAGGCTCTTGGAAGTGTTCATGTACTTTCTGCTTATTAGAACAAACAGAACTGTTCTCATCACAACGCAGCTAGGGGATGCTTCTATTAGCATCTCAGTTTCACACACAGGATCCCGAGGTTCCTTTAAGTAACTTGCCCGTGGTCACACAGCTGGTCAGGAACACAGCTGTGATTGGAAACACAGAGATACTTTATACAAAACCATGGACACGAAAGGAATGCTTTCAATGAATTTACCACATTGTGCTGTGTGTCCTTTCGTGGATCATCATTCCCTACAAATGGGAGGACAGAATTCTCCGGGTTGTTGGAGGTGTTTGGGACTCATCTTCCACAGTGAGTAAATACCCATATGATGAGAAGGAATGGGAGATTATGAATCGAAAGATGTATCTTCCAGGTTTTTGGCTATATACAAGCTTGTGTTTACGAGAGACAGATCAGAGGTTCACACTTGAATATGAAAAATACATGCACCCAGCATGATTTTAAAATTCATAGTCAACCCCAGTTACCCTTGAAAAAGGAATGTGACCACTTTAAGCATGAAACCAAGGTCCCCAGCATGCACTGTCTGGGTCCTGGGCCCATTGCTCACTGGCTGTATGACACTAAGATTAACCCCCTCATGCCCATTTCATCAGCTATAAAATAAGGAGAGTAATCATTTTCTTCATGGGGTTGCTACATTAGAATTAAATGAGACAATCCATGTAAAATTCTTAGAAAAGTGCCCCGCACAGAAAGGAATCAAAATCATTCCCTGTGTTATTGCTGTTGTTATTTTAATATCATCATTGTTTTTTGTTTTTTTCTTTGAAGGGAGCAGGGGGAGAAGGAAGAGAGAATCTCAAGCAGACTCCCCGCTGAGCATACAGCCCCATGTGGGGCTCGATCTCATGACGCTGAGATCGTGACCTGAGCCGAAACCAAGAATTGGACGCTTAACCGACTGAGCCACCCAGGTGCCCCAATATCGTCATTATTAACTAAAGGGCATGGCTTCATGCCCTTACACTTAACTATGGTCTGCTAAAGAAATGCAAGATATTACAACTCATTTCCACTTTATCTAACAGATTTAACAGAATGAAAGTAAAAGTTGTTGATATCTATTTACAGAAGTTACGTATTCTGTGAGGAAAAAGTAACTCTTGGTCTTGGTCTCAAAGATGTAGGTCAACTGAGGACTGGAAATTATCCTACCTTTTAAAACCCAAAGCTTTAGTGAGAGTATGAGTAGGAGGGTCTGACTGCCTGTTCATCTGATTCAATGCAAACCTTCTGTTACTGCATAGAACCGTCTATGCCTCGGTGAGAAAGTACGCATTGCTCAGTGGGACTCCAGCGCTGTGGAGGCAGCAAGCAGACTGTCAAAGAGACAAATCACTCTGCCTGTCCATTTATTTGCAGACTGAATGCACATTTCTGCCAGGAGGAATCACTGCCACTCAGATAATAATAGCTCTTCCATGGGAGAATGGCGCTCCCACCTCACCCCCTCGATAGAAATAAAAATGACCATGACCATGGCCAGGACCATGATGATGACGATGGCTGCAGATTCCATTCGCTTAGGCACTGAGCGAATCAGCTCCCACGCATTACCTCATTCAACTCCTACAACAACATCAGAAAAGTGCTATTACCATGTCCACTTCACAGGTGAGAAGACTGAGCTAAGCACAAGAGGAAATAATGCCGATGTGCGGGGAGCCAGTTAAGCTAAGTCCACATGCGAACCTAGCCCTATTTGATTCTGATTCAGCCCTTCTTTCCTAAGACTAGCTTACATCTGAAAAAAGCTAGCTCTGGAATGTGTTGCTACTATTATTCGATAAAAAAAAAAATCACAAAATGTCATTTGCAACCATTAAAATTTAGAAATACAATGTTTTAGGGTTTGCATTGAACCAAAATGATTTGCCATGGTGAAATAAACAGAAAGCAAAATCCTGGAATTCTAAAATTTTGCCAAATTCATCATCTAAATGACTTAACTTCACTAGTGCATATATTATATACACAGGTCATAAAGGGAAAATCTGTTTTTAATTTGGGAAATGTTTTATAAGATAAACTAACATCGACTCTTCGGTGTAAGTATAATATAATGGACCGTCATTCTTTCTCAGTTTGTGTTATAATTTCTTTGCTACAATTTATTTTGCTTTAAAATACATTCCTGTTACAGAAAATCACATTAAACTAAAGAGCGCTTTTAAAATTCAGCAATTTCTAAGCACCCACTAAGGCACATTACTTACTGTTAAGTAAAACAAATAGACATATGGAAAGTTTTGCCAACTCTTCATCATAAATCATTTCTTGCGTTTGAGAGGTGGTTTATATTTTTCAAAGGGCTTTCACTCTTGATGTCTTGTTTACGGCTCACACAAATCCAGTGAGGGAGGGAGGAGGGCACTCATTAGCCCCAGCTGCTCAGTGCGGCACCTGGAAGCAAGGAAGTGACGAAGAACACATAGGAACCTAGGCGGAGGGGGTGCCTGGGTGGCTCAGTCGGTTTAGCGTCTGCCCTCGGCTCAGGTCATGATCTCAGGGTCCTGGGATGGAGTCCCATGTCGGGCTCCCTGCTCAGCGGGGAGCCTGCTTCTCCCTCTCCCTCTGCCCCTCTTCCTGCTCATGCTCTCTCCCTCTCTCGCAAATAAATAAATAAAATCTTAAAAAAAAGGAACTTAGGTAGAGCTGGGACTAAAGTCTCTTCTACCTCTGAAATTATGTAACACCAAAGCTCTTGCCGATTTTGTGTGCGGGGAGGGACGGGGCCATCTAAGTGTGTGTCCTGCCCCTCCTTACTGCATCCTTATAAAGCAAGTAAAATGAAAAATGGCCACTAGTCTCTCTTCAAGGGCTCTTGAATTCTTCCACATTCTCTCTCAAAATCTTGGGCATCATCCCATGATAGTGGGATGACTTGTCCCTACCCCAGGTCCACATGTATCTAAGCCTGAATGGAAAAATGTCCCCCAGACAGATTAAACCATGGACAGGAAAAGTAGAGCATCATCACCAAAACCAATGGCTACCATTTTTTGAGTTCCTAGAAAAATGTGTCACGAAATTCACTGGCATTATCTCATTTACTATGGACCACTGCAGGAAGTCAATTATTATGACATCTGTGCTATGGATGATAAAGCTGATGCCCAGGTTGTTTACATGATTTACCAACATTCCTGTAAGGAAGTTTTAGCAGAACTGAGATTTAAACTCATGTCTTTTAATTCATGCCAAGCCTTTTCTCGCTCCTACGATGGCCCAGTGGATGTTGGAACCCAAAATTTTTGACCCCACCATAGCTGTTTGTACAGTGATAAATTCCTCCTTGGCCTGTAGGGGAGATGCGGAAGAATGTATGGTTCCTGTTTGATATATAAAAACATCTGTTTCAAAGAAACATTTTCAGAAATTTTCTTAAAACAATCTACTTTTGACCCATGGCAAAGAGAAAGAGAACATTAATAATGGTCTCATCGAATTAGTTAAAAATCTGACTAGGTCTCCATTAGACTATGTAAAATCATCAAAGCAAGTCACCCAATTTCCAAATGTTTCTCTCTCTTTCAACATTGGATGGTAAGAAAAAAAAGCCTAATATAACTCTGTCCAAATCCAGATCTGACAGATTTAGACATGGCCTAACATTGAAGAGAATGCTTTAATATGATGACATTTATTCCACCTGAAAAAAATCAAGAAGAAACGGTTTAAAGGAAGCTAAATTTCCTCAAGGAGGAAAACAGCACCCCATGGAAAATACACTGAAAGCCAAAGGTCACACGTACGTGGATCCATCCCAGTGTGAGGAGGCCATGTTGGTCCTGAACGCTGAATAATTCTTCCACATTCTCCACATCACAGTAGTCCGGCCCTGCAGACTGCTTTGGCACAATTACATGGGTGATAGTAAACTCATTATGTGTCTAAAAAACAATCAGCAAAAAGAATAACAAGCATCTGGGAGAAAAAAACCCACAGCCTGAGCTGGAAGTACAATGTTTTGCTGTAAGACTAGAGAGTGCCCCACCACCCGCATCCTCAAAATCAAAGCCTCACACTTAAAAGTAGATAATTTGCCAAAAAGCTGAGGAGTACCTCTCTGGACCTCAAAACCTCTTTTCACAACAGAAAATGTGTAACAAATGGGAGTTCGCATCCCGGGCTGGTCCATGATCGTTCAGTTAATAAATAATGTCTTGATATACTACATTTACAGGGGAAAAAAATCCGAACAAAATAGCAGCAGGCTTATTTGGAGGGGGAGATACTAGTTCAATGGTTTTGTGGCTTTACTGAGGGACATTTCTAAGGTTTGTGGAGGTTGATGGTCTCGCTTTTATTTTATTAATCATACTTCATTTCACATCCAGACCTAAATTTCCTCCTGCCACCGGGGGAACTCACTGAGATTTTCCATAACTGAGGTGATGTTTTGGGTTTGCATTTAGAAAACGAAAAAGGAAAAACACATTACTCCCTTCAGGTCAAGGGAAGAGTTGAAGGAAGGGGGCTGAGAAGAAGTGATAGGATGCTCAGGGAAGAGATGCTGGTGCTGGGAGGGACTGTCTGCCCTCCACAAACACCCCCTTCTCTCTGGTCTGAGGGCTTTCCTGCCCCACTGAGAATTAGTCATCTGGCTGGTTCTTCAGAGGCATCATGTGAGAAAAGACTATGGCTGTTGGAGGCTACAGAATGCCAACACCAAGCGCAGTGCCTGGCACATCTAGGTACTCAGTACATGTCCGTCGGGTGAAGGAACAAATGAAGGAATGAGTGAAGAATGAATGAATGACTCCATCAATCAATCAAACTAGGTACCACATATGGTCTTGAGGAAGCATCCAGAGCACATTGCCCCTGAAGGACAAACAAGGTGGCTGAGGGGAGCACAGGGTGGGTCACACTCCTGTGTTGGTCACCTGTGCTTCCTCTCTCCTGGAGGACACATGAAGATGCAGAACGGGAATACAGTGGGGACAATGTGTGCTGAATAGAACGTATTTGATTAAGCAACCGTTCCCAAGCTAAATGTTTAGGGTGGAAAATGCCCCTGGACCCAAGTGACACTATAAAGGGCACCTCCCATAAGACATTATTTATCCTTCTTGCAACTAGCAAATTAAACGCATCTTCTCTCTGTGGTCCTCCTTCTATTTTGACATTGTGTTTCATCACATATTTCTGGTAAAATCTTCCATACGTAAATAGGACCTGTGCCGTAAGATTTCAGCTTGTTGAAACTACTGTGTGCAACTAAAACAACAACAACAACAACGGAACCCTAGTTTTATTCCATATGGATCTGCAAAATGGTGGTGAGATGACACTTGCCTCGGATCAGAACAGGGAGTTCATTAGATAAATATATGGGAAACTAACAATTGCAATAGAAATCTGATTTAGAAAACTAGATGGCTTTGGAAATCTGGAGACCTATAATCCATCATTTTTCCTTTTTTTTAATTTTATTTATTTATTTGACAGAGAGAGAGAGCAGGTGGGGATGGGCAGAGGGAGAGAGAGAGACTCTCAAGAAGACTCCGCACTCAGCACGGAGCCGGACTCGGGGCTCGATCTTACGACCCGGAGATCATAAACTGAGCTGAAACCAAGAGTTGGATGCTCAACCGACTGAGCCCCCCGGGCACCCCTGATCTGTCATTTTTCTAAACAAAGGTTTAGCATGTGGTTTGATTTATTCTTTACAACAAGCTTTTACGGTATCCCTAAAATTTTACAACCCATTTCCTGGAAGGACCATTCCACGAATAATGACAGTGGTTTTGTGTTCATTAATCTAGGTAAAGATAACCTCATAATTTTTGCAACTCTTAGGATGCGTTTATTCTGTTCTGCTTATGACGAGAAAGTCACGATGACTGAATGTATCGTGGGCAGAAAGATATGAAACAAAGGGCATACCAGTTTTCCACAGAGTATTCCACAGGTTTCTATTCCTCTGAGTGTGTTAGATTCTGCCAGAAGCAGAAATCTGTGGCAAAGGTCTCTTGGTAAAACTACACACCGCAGTCCTTCGACCACTAAATCTAAGAAACAGGAAAGGCAGAACAAGCTAAAGAAACAAATCTTACATCCCATCCGTCAGAGCTGTTTTTGGCAAGCAACTGCAGGGCCATCGAAACATAAACGATGAAATTTTCAGGTGCTCCACTTTCTGTATTTTTTTTAAAACTCTTTGACAGTAAGCATCAACGAGAAGGAAGGTAAAATTCCTCTTTGCTTATAAATTGTTTCATGAACAAGGGGGGGGGAGGCACCAGCACTTTAACACCTTTACACCTTAGATCAACTGTTTACACGTATGTGTGAGGGTTTTGTTTTTGTTTTGTTTTGCGGCACAAAGCAAGTGCACTGCTAAGTGCTGAGGCTGCAGAGCATGTATCTCACAGACCGTAGGATAGATGCTCTTCACTATGTCTTCCACATGTTACTTTATGTCTTTATGGAAGTTGGTAATGGTTAAATAAGAGTACTGTTTTCAGGAATAATTCGCAATGGGGTAATTTATAAAGCGGTTGCCTACCACAACTCTTTTTAAAATAAATGGAAACAAGACGCCATCCGACAGGGTCTGCCTTTGGATTTGGGACCTTGTCAGCGGGGATGCAGCCGCCCCCGCGCAGCCCTAACTGTGGGCAGCAGAAGCACATAATCCACCTGGAGGTTGACTACCTGTGTGCGCAAGACCCTCCTGGGGCAGGAAAAGGTGAAACACTGACGTTTTAAGCCGAGGTCTGTGCCAACCATTTTCTCGGCATCTTCTTTCCAGTGTTTAAGTGGCCACCTTTAAGATTCAGGTGTTTCTTGGTGAAAATACAGGAAAGAAAAAAAAAATGCTCGGAATTCTCTTTTCAAATCTCTGGCCGCATGACCACATAGGGCCCGTTTATCAGAGGGTTGCTGCTCTACGGGGGCGGGCCGGGGGGGGGGGTGGTTAAATCGTGCTGCCTGAACGTTAGGTTACCGCCGCGGGAAAGCCGCACGACACTGAAATTCACAGCACACCCTGCCGCCGCGCCACCACCGCGGATAATGGGAAGAGGAGCCCCGTCCCAGCCATCGCGGAAAGGAGGCTCGGTCAGAAGCAAGGCCGGGCCTGGCCCGGAGGCCGCCCATCACTTACTGTGCACGGCGGCGCTCAGAGCGGCCGCGGGCTTGGAAGCCCGGTTTACGGGAGGAGAGTGCTTGGCATCAGGGGTCGTCTCGCTCTTAGGAGGCTGGTCTGCGAACACATTCAGCAGGGCACTGTTCCGCGGCGCGGACAAGCAGGACAAAGCGCTCCCGTCGATCTGCTCCGCCAGCGCCGGCGTTTCCTGGCTTCGCACCTGACCCCGGGCTAATTCCTGCTTCTTGAGCTGGTCTTCGAAAAATAGGAACTGCTCCGACTCCAGCTGCTGCTGGCGCATCCGAGCCACCCGCTTCCTTTCGGCCTCGATCAGGCTCTGATGCTCCAGTTGTTTGAGAATTTCCGCCTTGTGTTTGTTCTGGAAAAGGCGCCAGCCAACTGGGATTAGACACTTAACTTCCCGGCTCGCCAAGGACAGAGACACAGACGCTGCGGTGCGCACGCAGGGACACGCAGGTGACGGCGAGGGAAATAAGAAACCATCACGGCAAGAGCCCCTTAGTCTGATCAAGGCGGCAGCTCCATGTCCACTCATTATGTTACCGGGGGCAGGCCGTGACAGTCACGTCCCCTCCATGCCCCTGCGCGTTAGAAGCGTATTAGCAAATCAAGGTCACCCGGTTGGCGGCGTGGCCTGCCTCACCGATAACCGGAGCGAAATATCTCGGGGATGGTTCTCTCACTCTAGACCTCACTGGCCAATGCAGTAGCCGCCAGCCCTGTGGGCTACTTAAGTTTACATTGATTCAAGTCGAACGACATTAGACATTGAGGTCCGCAGTCCTGCCAGCCACCTTTTAGGTATCACGTGGCTGGCAGCTTCCCCCACGGAACATTTCCACCATGGGAGGAAGTTCTGTTGGCCGGTGTTGCCCTAGAACCTCTTGCCTTGGACTCTAGAGCTCAGACTACTGGAACTTTAGGGAGAAGGGGGAAGCCCTAGGAAACGGTTCTCAAAATGGGGTCCGATCATCTCCATCAGGACGAGCCAGGAATTTTGTTAAAATGAAGATTCCCAGGCTCCCCAGTCTTAAAAAAAAAAAAAAAATCCAGGCATTATTAGGTCAGAGAATGTAAATCTTTAATAAGCTCCTCAAATGGTTTTGATTAAAAGTCACTTTGGGAGGGGCGGGGTGGGGGACACAGCTTACGGCAGCAGTTTGGGGGTGCGCACGAATCCCCCAGGGTCTCGTCAGAAGGGCTGATTCCAACTCAGCAGGAGTGGGGGGTGGCCTGAGAGTCTGCATTTCGAACAAGTTCCCGATGATGCCCATGCTGCCTATAGCAAGGGCTTACTGATGGGCATGTCCATCTCTCCTAGGCATAAAGGCTGCCACTCTATCTCCACACGGATTTCTCGGTGACATGTACTTCGGGACACTGTTGCCCACTGGGACCTAATTGGTGTCATCAAAGGCAGACCAGGCTGTCCCTCCCTGGGAGACCCTGAGGCGACGACCACACTGCTGATGGGAAGGAAGACTGGCCTGGGCCTTTCTCTCCTTTGCGGTTGCTTTGTCTGAACCTCCAAGAGCCTTCTCATCTAACACAGTTCAAGTCAAATCCAAATCATCCATAGCCGCACTTGAGGGGACGTTCGGATTTCAACATTCCCTCTGTCCCTTGGTCAAAACGCCGCACTCAACCCTGACTTCCAGCTACGCCCACAGGAGGCCCGGAGGTTCCCGGGGCCACATTCAGCGTTCATGAGACTGAACTCAAGCGAGAGCCAGTACAGGTGACAATTTCAAAGCACATAAACACGCAGTCCAACAAAAAAAGCAAAGCGATTTTTATAACATTGCTAAAGACATTAAGAGTTTGAGTTTTGAACTTGAGGTCCTAGAGATCAATTTTTTCTCTTAATGCCACTCAATCTCTTAGACATCATTATCATTGTCACTCTTTATGTAATAATGATGCAGAAGCCACCATCCATGGGTGATACGATTACATTTCACTCATATGGTTAGCTATTATTCCCTCTCAATGTAATATTGACTGTAAGATGGAAGAATCGAATTCACATTTCCAAGGCCTGCGTAATAAGATAAATCAGAAACTATGTACTGTTCTCCCTATGTCCCACTGCCTCTGTTCATCACCAAAGAGCAGTCATCTGCCTCAAGGTTACAGTGGCAAGAGTTGGTCAAAAAGCTCCATTTAAATCACTGTGGGAAGTTTATTTTCTAATGCATCACATGATTAGATGTTGTGGGGTAATAAAAATACCACATCTTTGGTGCAAGTGCTTAACCTGTATATCAACATGAATTTTTTATTGGTTTTACATCACTGTGTCTTTAATTTTTAATTTAAATGCACAAGCCATTCGAAAAACTCACATGAACATGAAATTAAAAAAAATATTTGCACAGAAAACAGTCATGAAATAAATGTACCAATTGAACTTACTTTGCTTTGCAAATATTCTTGGTATTCTATGTTATATTTCTTTAAAAGGTCCTTTTTCAATTCATCAGTCCTTGGGAATGCAATCTCCTTCAGTTTCTTTTAAAAATATATATATACATATTGATTAGTGGGAGTCTCAGTATAGTCTTTCAGCTGAGAAAGAAAAACAGCTTGTATGTGTATTAGAAAATCAAGACACAAGTAACCAAAGATGATGGTGGACATATAAACCTCTCCTTGCTATGGCTCCAAAACACAAATTTTCAATAGGGAAGGGAAAGCATTATCCCTCTCGTAAGACCTCAGTCGACTCGGGTAGGTAAGCATTCCGTCTAGGTAGGTACCCCGTTTTCAAGCAGTGGGTTTGTAACTGCACATTCCACTGTGTGCAAATGCTATGAAATCATAGTTCGAAGCGATGCTGGAGAAAACAGTAGGTAGGGATTGCTAGGCTTGACTGCAAAAAAGAGGCTGAGGCACTTTGTATACAAATAGATTCCTAGGCCTCCTCCCAGTTCCCCCGAGTCAACATGTTTAGAGAAGGGGTTGGGGAATCTGGATCTCAAACAATTTCTCTGTGATTCTTCTTAATGGACAGAAAATCTGGGAAATCTGATTAAGTCCAAGTACCACCTTCCTTTTCAGAGATGAGGGAACAAAGGCCCTTCTTCTAATAGAGATTAGAAGTACTACTACCCCCACTATTAGTGGCCCCATTATGACTAGAATCCAAATCTGACTCTGGCCAGGCTCTTCCACTAAAATTTCTTTTCTCTTAATCTTCTGCCATCCAACCAACCATCCATCCATCCATCCATCCATCCATCCAACCATCCAACCATCCATCCATCCATCCAACCAACCAACCATCCATCCATCCATCCATCCATCCATCCAACCAACCATCCATCCATCCATCCATCCATCCATCCTCCCATCCTCACACCCATCCATTTATTCAACAAGCATAAACAAAGAAAATGTATATACTTTTGGAGAATGGTTTCCTATGAGAAGAAATAAGAATAAAACTAAATCAGAGCAAAAGAGTCAGCTTGGCAGAACATACAGAACAGCCCGAGTCTGAATGAACAAGAGAATTTGGTGGAAAGGCTACACAAGGCATGGCAGTGAGCGCCCCTTCAGGTAAGTGTGTATAGAAATTTTTACAAATGTAGATGACCATTGGGCACAATCTGAGTTCATACAGGCAGCCTCAGGCCAGACATGCTGGTAAGAGAGCCTGTCATCCATTATATGGTCAAGCATCTCTGGAGAGTTACTTAAAATTTCATGGCTTTGTATATACCGTTTTATATTCCTCCACATAAGATCAACCCACACTACTTAACACAAATACGTGGGAAACATTTTAAAAATGTTATTTAAAAGGATATATATATATATATAAATATAAATATAAATATAAATATATATATATATATTCTCCTCTAAAAATACCTGAAGCTCTATCGGTCACCAAGGTTGATGGTGAATTCAGAACTTTTCAGCAACCATCTTCCTTTTCCTTGAGACTATTTCAAGCCACCGCTTACCCTTAAACACTTGATTATGCCATAGGCTAGCACCCCACAATACCTTCATAATATCCTGCTTTTCGGGGTACTACAAGAAAACAACTAGAACTTTGGGGCCACCTTAATAATCAACACTGATTTTCAAACACTTCTGAGGTTCAGGACTATACGGAAGAATCAAGACCCGCCAAAATGACTCTCAAACAAATCCGGGGAATTGGACCACCTTTCTTGCAATCCCTGGGAAGAACAGTGAATAATTCCTTCCTCACGCCACAAAGAGACTGAGCACATTCTCGATCTTTTTCTTTTCTCCTCCGTTCCAGTTTCAATTAGACATCCCACACTGGCTCCGGAACAATTGATTAAAGGTCCAAGAAGAAATTGAAATATCTTGGCTAATGGAATGAATTTTCTGTGCTCAAACTCTCCAGAGGATGAGATGAAGGAGGAGGAGACGTGTGGAGCATTTGACCCCCGGGGGGAGAATCGACCTCACAATACCTTCATAATATCCTGCTTTTCTGGGATTGCACATTGCTGGTAATCTCGATGGCCGGGAAGCTTTTCTACAAACAAGCTAGGAAAAGAGAAAGCACATCCTTAGCATTATATGACAGAAAAAGCTCAGCGATGGTTTCTTTTTTTCTTAAAGATTTTATTTATTTATTTTGAGAGAGAAAGAGAGAGAGAGGGCATGCATGAGCAGGGGGAGGGGCAGAGGGAGAAGAAGCGGGAGAGAAGTAGACTCTGCTGAGCATGGAGCCCAGTGCGGGGCTTGATCGCACGACCCTGAGATCACCACCTGAGCTGAAATCAAGAGTCAGACACTAAACGGACTGAGCCACCCGGGCGCCCCGTCAGTGAAGGTTTCTAATACAAGAACGAAACTCCTTTTCAAAAAGGACGTGCTTAATACATTATTATTTAACCTATATTCTTTCCATCAGCCTTTCCACCAAAGGCTGGCATGAGTCTGATTTTGGCATTCCAGGGAAGTAAGCTCTGTGCACTGAGCGCTGAGGTTAAGAGGGTCAGGATGCTCCCTAAGAGACCGTGTCAATTTGGTCCTTCTCAGGTCCTGGGTGCTTGATCCGCCAGAGCACTATCTCACTCACGTGTGCTGCTGGCAACACAGAGGATCATGTAAAAATGTTAAGAGTTTAGGAAGATTGGAGTGGTGGGGGGTGGGAGGGACGGGGTGGCTGGGTGATAGACATTGGGGAGGGTATGTGCTATGGTGAGCGCTGTGCAATGTGCAAGACTGTTGAATCACAGACCTGTACTTCTGAAACAAATAATACAATATATGTTTAAAAAAAAAAGAAGAAGAAAGCAGGAGGGGAAGAATGAAGGGGGGGAAATCGGAGGGGGAGACGAACCATGAGAGACGATGGACTCTGAGAAACAAACTGAGGGTTCTAGAGGGGAGGGCGGTGGGGGGATGGGTTAGCCTGGTGATGGGTATTAAGGAGGGCACGTTCTGCGTGGAGCACTGGGTGTTATGCACAAACAATGAATCATGGAACAGTACATCAAAAACTAATGATGTAATGTATGGTGATTAACATAACAACAAAAAATTAAAAAAAAAAGAGTTTAGGAAGATCAATGTAATCTCTTCTCACCGTTGAAGAAGACTCAAAGGACCACTGATGAATCAGGAGTGCCATGGTGCCTATGTGTCTATATCAAAAATTATTTTTTTAAAGATTTTATTTATTTATGTGTGTGTGAGAGAGAGGGAGAGGGAGAACAGGGTGGAGGAGCCGAGGAGTCCAACACGGGACTCGATCCCAGGACCCTGGGATCGTTACCTGACTGAAGGCAGACGCTTCACTGACCGAGCCACCCAGGCGCCCTGATACCAGAAACTCTTAACTGAAAATTCACAACTAAGAGAAATGACAGTCAGAATCCCTAGTGGATGAGGAGGTGCTAAATTAGGAGTTCATTATTTTTCATCACCTTTTTGAGGAACAAGGCACAGCAGAGGTAAAGGGAAATCCTTAGACCAAACCAGATGCATCACTTCCACGTAACATGAAGATTTTGCTTTCACAAGGGCAGGGAATTCTGGGTTTCTTTTTTTCTTACTGATGTATCCCTAGCAGCCAGAATAGTGTCCAGCTCATGATGTGTGTTCAGTAAATATTTGCGGAATAAACGAAAAGTCCTTCCTTGATGGACCATGATGGGCTATAAATACTATTTAAGATCAACTAATACGTGATACCTTATAATAATTGGTGTCCTCTCGCTTACAGATCATGCATGCTCTCGTCTTGTGGCCTACAGGGGACATGGGGATGGTAAAATAACTCATTTCTTGAATGAGGAAATTATGGGTTTAAAGAGGCTACAGAAATTGTAAGTTGCCTATAGTAGCTATTCTTTATAAATAGAATAAAGTCACAAATGTTTGGAGTTGAAGACAGCTTAGAGAAATCTTCCATTTGGAGAGAAGAGAGATTTCTGCCCCTACGTCTTCCATTTGTAATGAGGAACTGAGGCCCACAGGGGATACGTGAATTACGAATTGCCACGTGGTTCATGACAGAAGGGAACTCCAACATTCCGGTGACTCGATAATGTGGACAGTGCAGTGGTCTTTCGCTTAACCACGCTTATGACCCCACAGGAACGTGGGCAAAGAAAACACCAGCAGAAGGCAACACAGAAATATTAGCAACTGGTGACCTAGAGTTCAGAAATTAAAGTTTTTGGAGAATGTGTGCTATCAGTGATACCCAACAGCTTCCGATTTCGTATTTATTGTTAGCTCTCTAGAAACCAGTGGTTTCCACATGTAGGCTGAGTGTTGCCAACTGTCCACTTCTCAGATGTTCTCAGGTTAAAAATCCCCAAGTGAACGAGGGAGTCAATCATCATGTGACTTTTAATTAAGCTAAAAGTATGGGTTTCAGGTAGCTGCTTTCACTCAACACTTTGGAAGCTCTTTTATACATAGCACTATTACACAGCTAAATAAATTGCCTCTTTTTTTAATAGATTCTATTTATTTGAGAGAAAGAGAGAATGTGAACGAGTCAGGGGGGGAAGCAGAGGGAGAAGCAGACTCCCCGCTGAGCAGGGAGCCCGATGCGGGGCTCGATCCTGGGACCCTGGGATCATGACCTGAGCTGAAGTCAGATGCTTAGCCGACGGAGCCACCCAGGCGCCCCAGTAAATTGCCTTTTTAAAAAATACTAACTATTGGCGCCTGGGTGGCTCCATCGGTTAAGTGGCCGAGTCTTGATTTCAGCTCAGGTCATGATCTCAGGATCCTAGGATCAAGCCCCATGTCATGTTCCAAGCTCAGTGGGGAGTCTGCTTGAGATTCTCTCTCCCTCTCTCCCTGCCCCCTCCCACTCTCTCTCTTTCTCAAATCAATAAATAAATCTTTAAAAAAATACTAACTACAATGTGAAACTGCTACTTTCTATATCCCTGAATCAGATCCTTCCTATAGCTGCCAACTTACCGCCCCGTCCCAACCCATCAAGTCAAATTTTAAAACCGTTAATGGTCTGTTCCAGGCGCTGGTCTGTTCCAGGCGCTGTGGATGGAGCTGCAATATGGTTCCTGCTCTCACAAAGCTGACATTCCTGTGGGGGGAGGACAGCATAAAACAGGACATTTTCTTGGTGAAGAGTGCCAAACACAGGCACATGCATGTCACTACACGGGGCTATTTGAGAGACTTGTTTCACATCCCTGAGGCTCGCTCCATGCCTGAGCCTCAGAGATGGTGTGGGGATGCCTTTGAATACATTACCTGGTAACCTAAAAACGTGGGACATTTAATGCTTGTGAAGATTGCAAAACTGGTCTGAATATGAAAATATTCCTGAAGTCCAAACCATTTCACTAACACAGCACGTAAATATTTTCCCATTTCGAAGACCTCCCAAACAAAAGACTTACGTTATAAATTTGTTATAAAGGACAAAGGCATTTTCCAAATTTCCTTCTTCCAAATACACCGACGCCATTCTCTCCATCTCTACCCCAGATCTAAAGTAGCGGCGTGGGGTGATGTCTTCAGTGACGGTAATATTACACCCAAGCTTGCTGAGGGCACGGACTCGCTCTTCTGGGCTGAGGGAGACGTCCGTATGGTCAGGCATAGCAGCCAACTTTTTCTGCAAAGCAAAAATTGAATCCCTGAGTAGAAATAAGAAATGAACAGGACTGAAATTACAGGTGTGTTTCTGCACTAAATACTCGACACCAGTCCCTAAGGAAAGCGTTTCCTAAGAGTTAATGATACCATAGAAGTGCAATCTTTGTGCAGAAACACATGGGCCAGACACCAAGAAGACATGCATCTCTAGGATAACCACACCTTCGTGTTGGGGGCAAATCTCCTTTAGGGTTCAGGGTACAATTATGTGGCAGTTCCTGGGTATGCAAATGCTTTAGGTCATTTTAGGTAAAGTATCATTGACCCTTATGTCCTCATGGATACTTCCATTCCGGCTCATGTGAAGCAGTCCAGCAGGTGGACTCTTGTCTGGGGAGGGCTCACGTCATGCTCCTCTGAAGGGTCTCCAAGAGATGGTCTGCATTCAAAAGTTACTCTAAGGATTCAATTCTCTTCCACAATGTATCCAGTTTAATAAGATGCTTTTAGGACCTGTTTCTTCACCAAGTGAATGAAACCTCACCAATAAGTCCTTTTCAAGGATACCCCCTATTTCTTCTTAACATAAAAAAAACTCTTAGATCTGCACATAATAATGATAGTACATTAACAGGCATGGTTAATTAGTCCCTGACTGAGAAAATAATGAAAATCATTACTAAGAAAAAGTCAGTGATATTAAGACATACATTTGTACTTTATTCATAAAAATAGTATCCGTACACATTTGGGAAAACACAGAACGTATGCATTCAGGATAATTATTCAATGATTCAATGAAAAGCTCAGCGCTTCAGAAAGGCAAAAAAGTCAACAAATTTTTTTCTGTTAAAGGCCGTATAGCAAACCTTCTGGACTTTGCAGGCCCTGAGTCCCCTCACAACTACTTAGCTCTGCCGATGCGTAAGCAGCCACACACAACATGTAAGCAAATGATCCTGGCTCTATTTTCAAAAATGTTTTCAAAATAAGCAGGTGACTTTGGCGCTCAGACCAGTCTGCTGACCCCAGCAGTATCAGCATCAACTGGGAGTTTCTTAAAAGTACAAATTCCCGGGGCACCTGGGTGGCTCAGTCGGTTAAGCATCTGCCTCTGGCTCAGGTCATGGTCCCAGGGTCCTGGGATAGAGCCCTGTGTCTGGCTCCCTGCTCAGCGGGGAGCCTGTTTCTCCCTCTGCCCCTCCCCCTGTTCCTGCTTTCTCTCTCTCTCTCTCAAATAAATAAATAAAATCTTAAAAAAACAATGTTTAAAAAAAAAAGTACAAATTCTCAACAGGCCTCCCCTGGCATCTACAGACTGGAGGCGGGCTTGAAGAACCCATGTTTCAACTGGTGTTCCCAGAGGCACTGATGCATGCTGCAGTTTGAGAAACGCTGCTTTAAACCCCTCTAGCAACCTTTGATCCACAGGAATGGAATTAGCCCAGAGCAAATTTAGCTCCCCGAGTCTGCCTCTGTCAGTCAAGGGCAGCGCATTTGATTAAAAGGTCTGTATAAAGTTAAAAAAGAAATCCAGGTGGAATGGTTTTTGTCTGGCCATGAATGACGGATCCAAGCTGTCAGGGCAGGCTGCAATGAATCTTCCGATGCCCTGGGGTCCACTGTGGTGGCAATTTTGTAACAGAGAGAACCCTAGAGACCTGGAACGATTCTTCTTTCTTTTTTTTTTTTTTTAAAGATTTTATTTATTTATTTGAGAGAGTGAGCACGAGCAGGAGGGAACAGCAGAGGGAGAGGGAGAAGCAGGCTCCCCACTGAGCAGGGAGCCTGATGCGGGGCTCGATCCCAGGACCCTGAGATCATGACTTGAGCCGAAGGCAGACGCTTAACCCACTGAGCCACCCAGGTGCCCTGATTCTTGTTTCTAAAGGTGAAATTTATAACCAACCAGAGAGGCATAAACCTGTTCTCCTCCCCATTTCCTTCTCCCAAGAGGAAGCTCTCAGGGCCTGGGCTTCCTGGTGCTGAAGTCTCCAGCGATCCTTCCCGCAACTGGGTGGCCAGTTCAATTTAGAGTGGAAGGGATAAAGAGACTTACCAGTCTCCCAGAGTCTGTCTCCAGGGCCAAGTGATAAAGAATAAAGCATGCCCTGGATTTTTGACCTTGGCATCTTCAGTCAATTCCCCTTGGTCCAGAATTCTGAGAACGGAGAGGTGTGCCTGAACATAACCCCCAGCCCTGCTTCAGTGACGTCACCTTACATGAAGGCACACTTCCTTCTAGCCAAACCCTGTCACGCTGCTCCTCTCCTTTTCGAAAAGACTTCCTAATTTCTGAGAAGCTGCTGGAGGCCTCCCCTCCTCCGAAGCAGGAATCGAAGCTTGTTGACGTCTGAGCCTCAGACCTGAGTGTGTGCCATCTTGTCCAAGGGAGAAGCCCGGGACATGGCAGCCACAGCCCGCCCTTCCCTCACCCAGAGCGCCCAGCAGCCCTCAAGGAAAATGCTGCTATTCGACCACAGGTGAAGGCGTCAATGACATCAGAAAATGACTGGGGAAAAAAACTATGGAAATCAGCACATTTTTCCAAAGAGGGCTTCCAGTCTCCTGAATGTGCAAAAGTAATTTGCCCACTTTTTATTACTGTACAGTCTGCACTGAATTATAATTATTTGTGTGCAGTGTCCATCCATCCCTGTTCCCTAGGATGTAGCATATTCTTTGCAGCACAGATGATAATCAAAACATGTACCAAATAAAAGAGGAAGAGAGAAACAGGTGCAATGTGATTGTAACTGGATTATCTTTTTACCAGGAAGTAAAAGTAAGATTTGTTTTCGCTCTCCTGAATGGTCCTATCCTTCCCAAATTCAAAAGTGATTTCAGAAGTAAATGGGGAAAGAGCCTCATGTCTTCATAGATCTATAATGTTGGGTTTGCGATACCTTACGAAATACAAAATCTCCAGATGAAAAAGCCTTAGTGTTCATTTCACAGTGACATGTCCACTAACATTTTAATCATTGCTACCTAATGTTCTAGAAAACACCTAAGATGTGCCAAAAGGATGATCCCTTCCTCTGCAGGTGGGAAAGGGGGCTGCCTTTATTCCCCCACAGTGCCCCGACAGCATGAGGTCGGAAAGTGAAGAAGTTCCCACAGTTCTCTGCACTGTTCAGAGCACCTGAGCATCTGTGAAGGACATTCCTGGCAAGGAGGGCGTGGGTCACAACCTATTTCAGAGCAAGGACCAGGCCCTCTATTTCTTTGTTTTCTGTTTTGTTTTGTTTTGTTTTTTTTAAGATTTATTTATTTATTTATTTGACAAAGGCAGAGAGAGAGAGCACAAAGCAAGGGGAGCGGCAGAGGGAGAAGCAGGCTGCCCGCTGAGCAGGGAGCCCGATGCAGGGCTCGATCCCAGGACCCTGGGATCACGACCTGAGCCGAAGGTAGCAGCTCAACCGACTGAGCCACCCAGGCGCCCCCTCCATTTCCTTGTGATCTGGGGCTAAAGCTTTGCGAGTGCAGGTATTCAGTATACTGCTGGTCATCAGGAGAAGGCTAACAGTTGTGAGAGCTTCCCTTGATCAAGACCCCATGATCGGCTGGGAACATTAAAAATATTGTTCCCAACTGTCGTAATGTGCAAAGTACAAAAATGGGGCCGTGTTGGTTATATAATGTGCCTACATTCTCACCCAGAGAATGATCTGGGACTCACAATATGTCCCTGAGATCCCAGGCCTCCTGTTATTTCGTCTCGGGCATGTTGTTCCTTCTGAGATGTAGCTAGAGAAGGCACGGACCGCGTTGGGCTCTACAGGGCAAAGTGAGAAGAACAAGAGTTTCAAGCGTGTGGAACTTTACGCTGGCTCCCAAAGTAACACCTGCGTGTCGTATATAGAACGTCTCCCTCGGTCATTACCACACAAGGGAAGCTTCCAGTTTTTATCCATGAAGAAGCTGAAGCACAAAGAGGTTGAAGTCCCTGCTTACAAAGTCAATTCTGAAGTTCCTCTCCCCCACACTCCTGGAATCTAACCAGAGAGATTAAAATTTCACACTTTTGTGGACAAAAAGAATTACTTTTAGCTCTAGTGAAGATGGCTTTATTAGTCACTTCCTCAAAGGAGAGGACCCCACAGATGGATGAGGAGCGACAAGTGCTCAACTTCGTGAAGTAACGGTGACTCATTTCACATGTGCTATGTTTCTGTTCTTCTTTCTGGGTTTTCAGGCCATATGTAAGGTATCGGTTGGTGCTACCTACCAGAGAATTCACAGTAAATGGCTGATCCATGTTGTCCTTTCCACAGAGCGAAGGTGTTCACTGTTTCTTCTCAATCACTTCATCTGTTTCAAAGACAAAACACAGAGCTACAATTATTTATCTTTTTTTTTTTTTTTTTTTTGAGAATGCGAGTCCCAAATCTCAAACCCCAGGGTTATTTCTGGCTCAGAATATAAACACATCGAAATGACTTATATAACCTGAGTTTTTAGAGAGACTTTGGAAATCTCTTCCTGAAAATACACAACGGCAGGTGGTTAAAAGCAGACCTTAAGAGCAGACCTTTTAAAGCAGGGGTGTGACGAGAAATACACTATTGCTTAGCACCCAGTGTGTCTTCTGGGGGTTTTCTTACTCAGAACTCCATGCAAGGTTATAAAGCGGGTTTACTTTGTTCAAAGGGAGACAGATCCTAACGGTGAAGAGCTTGGACACTGGGGCCATGGACTCCGACACCTGGAGTCCGTCTGGGCCTAGGCTGAGCTTTACTAGCTGTGGAAGGCAGAATTATAAGACCAGGCCCTCCGTTTCTTTGTTTTCTGTTTTTTGTTTTTTTTTTTTAAGATTTATTTATTTATTTAATAATACTGACTCCTTCCCCTTGGTATCCAGGGGTTTGGGTAAACCGCCCCCCCTCCCCCACTTTGAGTGTGGAGGAGACTTGTAACTGACTTCTAGACTACAGAACACAGCAAAGGTGATGGAATACTACTCCCATGTTTACATTATGTCACACAGCAGGGATGAAGAGATGTCGTAAACAGATTAAGCCGTCTAACCAGCGGGAGATGATCCTGGGTGGGCCTGGCCTAATCAGGGGAGGCCTTTCAAAGACAGACAGTCTCCGGATGTCCTTGAAGACTCAGCTGCTATAAATACCACAGCTACAAGGAAATGAATTCTGCCAGTAATCATGTGAGATTGGAAGAGCACCCCAAGCCTCAGATGAGACCGTTACCCTGGTCAGCACCTCCATTGCTGCCTTGTGAGATCTTGAGCAGAGCACCCGGATACGCTGGGCCCAGGCTCCAGACCCACCAAACTCGGAGATAATAAATGTATGGTAGCTCAAGCCACGAAGCTTGTGGTGATTTGTAAAGCAGCACAAGAAAACAAATATGCCAGCTGTGAGACTTTACGTAAGTGATATGGCCTTTTTACGTGCAAGGGACAGTGGGGGAAATAACATGACCTATGTCATATCTTTGTGATAAGGATGAAATCAGGGAGCATATGAAGTGCTTGGAATAGTTCCTAGCACAGTCAAGATTATAGACGTGTCAGCTATTATTAAAATCTTTATTTTGCAGTTTTAGAAACTGAGGCTCAGGGTTACGTGAATGTGCCCAAGTTCAAATAGTCATTCATGAATATTAATTAGTCTCCTCTCTTATGCTACTTCAGGTCAGGCTCTGCATTCACCACTTCTCACTTCTTCTAAATTCATTTTGGCCTTTTACTGCACTAAATCATTTATGTGATGCTGGGCACATCTTCTCTCTAGTTCCTCATTTATGACAAGAGGGGCTTAACCTACATTCATTCATTCAGATCACAGCATTCTGTGATTCTAGAAATCCCACATGTAGATCATTCAACCCTTCTTTTTTTTTTTCTCTGGCCTGAATCCATGCCGGAGAAACCCTCCAAGGAAAGTCACGTGGCATGTGCTTCACCCTCTCTAGTGATGCCTGGAATAAACAGGGAGATCTAAGCTTGCAGGCTGCAGAAATGGCTGGGAAAGAAATGACCTGGGGAGTGCCACAGTCACAGTGTAGCTTAAAACCCTAATTAATTCTGGTGTTCTGGTGTCACAGAGTGTAGGCAACCTCATTTGGGGAATTGCCAGTCCTCAGTAAGAAGAAATAAACCAGGGAAAGAAAGGAAAGAAAAGAAAAGAAAGAAAAGAAGGCAGGCAGGGAGAGAGGAAAGGAAAGAAGGAAGAGAAAGAAACAAAGACATTAAAACAGTTAAGGAGACAGAACAAAAAGGCTTATGGCGAATTTGGGGCTGGGTGGGGGGAAGGGGACAACGGAACGCTAGTTAGTCATTGACTAGGGTCTTGTGAAAGCCTAGAGTTATTTTTGGGGGGTTACTCAGATCCTTAAGTGGAGAACAAATAATTTTTAAAATTAAAAACATTATAACAGCGGTTCTTAAATTTTACTGTATCTAAAAGTTATGCAAGCCTGAGGCTTATTTAAAATGCAGATTCCTAGAATCTGAATCCATCAGTTGTCAGCCCACCAATGGGCACTGATGGTTAGGATGTGGCCCAGGTAAATCCGATACGCGAGGTTTCCAAACAATACTTGCAGAGATGCTGTCTTTGGGAATGCATCAAGCAGGGTTCTTAGTTGCAAGCGAAGGCACTGACTCTTGAATTCACAGGATAGTGGAAAGATCACAGATTTCCAGGAGGGCCAGGGAAATGGGGCTTGGAGGCTACATATCCAGAAACACCTCCCCCCCAAATCACTCAGCAGCACTGGTCTGATAGGGAAGGGGGCCCCCAGCTTCCAGCACCACCACCAGCAGCCATATCTTGGCTTGATGTCACCAGTTTCTAGTTCAAAGTATGGGATGAGGGTGCGTGGCTGGCAGAGCCTAGGTCACATGCCCACAGCCCGGCACCGGAAAAATGCAAACCCCCGGCACTTGACACTTCCACAGGAGGCAGTGGGATGTGCCCAGTGAGAAAAGGTACTGGTGGCCAGGCCTGGGTGGCCAAAAACAATGATAAGCACGCACAAGACTCAAACAAACTTCTCTGTAGTGAGCTTCTGGATGTACAAAATGCGTAATTCAATATATCTTGAACACCAGATTTTATTAATTTGCCATAGATGCAAACCCATCACTATTAACGCCCACACATAAATTTATTTATAATTCAGAAATAGAAACCAACTCCTCTCAAATCTAAGATGAAAGAAGTTTATAGATTGGTCGGTCGACTTATTTCTTTGGACCATTAACTACTCAATGGCAGTCGTCCTGTCTTAATTTGTTTTTTAACCTCTAACCTTAGCATGAATCAGTTTCAACACCAACTATTACCCAAGTCAACATAACCAGTTATGTTCTCTTGACCAGTAGCTATCCAAGTGTGGTACAGGATCCCCAAGACCCTTTTAAGGGTTGTGCAAGGTCAATATTATTTTCATAATATCACTCAAACGTTATTTGCTCCTTTACTATCAGTGTGTCACAATTCTGCAGTGGAGACTTCTAGAGGGCCCAAGTTAATGGAATGCTTATTTGCATATTCCTGTCAATGTCCATTTCAGTTTTCAATATGGTAAATATAAATCCATATAGTCCACATAAGCAAAGCTTTTTAGTATCCTTAGTAATTTTTAAGAGTGAAAAGGGCTCCCAAGACCAAGACATTTGAAAAACACTGCTCTAGACCAACTACGAACATAAAACAAAACAAAATCTCGCCGCGTGACTTCAATCTAAACACAAATAGTATGGTCCAGAAGAATCTAAAAGAGAAAAAATACATGTTGAGTATCACCTTCCATTGGCACTACTAGGGTCCGCTAAAATAATTTAAAAAACCGAGGGCAGATGCTCCTGGGTGGCTCAGTCAGTTAACTGTCTGACTGTTGATTTCGGCTCAGCTGGTGATCTCAGGGTCCTGAGATTGTGCCCCACGTCAGGCTCCAGGCTCAGTGGGGAGTCCGCTGTAGATTCTCTCTCCCTCTCCCTCTGCCCCGCCCCCCTTCTCTCTCTCTAAAGAAAAAAAAAGAATAAATCTTAAAAACAAAACAAAACCAAAAAATCTGAGGGCACTGTAAGAGGTGCCTGACCTCACAGAACCTGAGATCCAGAAGAGCAAATGCCACACACTGCTTGATATCTGTGATATCCACTCTCTTTTTCTAGTAGAAAAATACAATTTTTTTTGCTGATCTATAGCCCAAGTAAAAACCTACATTTTCCAGCCTGTCCTGGCCTTGGACGTGGCCGTGTGCCCAAGCCCTGCCAGTGGGGTGTGAACAGGAGTACTGGGATCAAAGTCTGGATCGTGCCCTCTAGAGAAAGGAACCCGGTCTCCTCCACCCACCCCGGCCCTTCCTGCCGGCTGGAATGTGGCCGAGCAGGTGCAGGGAGCTGGTCAGGAGCCCGAGGTAGAGCAAAGCAAGAAGAGAAAGGAAGCACTCCAGTTTGCTTACGCTCACAGACCGTGAGAGAGACAAACGTCTATCTTGGGCAATACTGTGTCTTGTTTAGGCAGCTGGACCTGCGTCCTGACAAATGCAGTGGTTTAACCTAGAAAGGATGACGCAGCATGGCCCAAGGGAGACCGTGGCCCATACTGATAATCTTCCATCACGCCCCCCACGCCCCAGCGCTCGGCTGTGCTGCGTCCACGTCTTTGCTCCGGGGACAGGCAGTAGCAGAAACATCTTCCTCCCTCCTTGTGACCTCACAATTCACCCAAATCCTGCCCAGCCTGGGAGATCCCACAGGCCCAGCCAGAAGTTTCGGACTTCTTCAGATATTATTAAGCTACAGCCCCAAAGGCAACATTTGAATGTTATAAACGTTTAATTTGGTTGTTATAGTAAATTAAAAAAATTCTAAGTTAGTTATCAATATTTAAAAATCGGGAGATTTCATATAAAAATTCAGGTTTTAGCTTCTCCTAAAAAAGAAAAAAAAAAAAAGATCAGAGGATCTGGCACCACTGGGCCCAGGACTTGGGACATTTGTTTGTTTTTATCTTCTATCCTGAGTTTAGAACAGTGCCCGCTACTCGAACGTATTTGTTGTGTGAATGAGGAAACAGTTTCCTTAAAGTCTACAGTACCCTCCCCATCACATTCCCAGGCGCTTGGTAAGTGTTTGGCTCTAAATCTGTGCTAAAATATGTCCACCAAATGCACCAGCCTTCAAGAACTTACGGATAGCTCATTTAATTCTCTTAACACATGTCTGTTCATTAATTCAGTCACATATTCATTCAACAAACAGCAACTGAACATCTAGGATATACCGGGCATTGTTCCAAGCATGCGGGACATGAACAGAACTGGCAAAGGCTCCTGCC